TAGATAGTTCACGGGTAGTTTGTCAAAATCACAATTATAATGGTAAAGCGAGTTATGAATAACGGTTTTTGCAAAATGAATTATGTTACGGATTGATACTTCATAACAAAAATTGTAAGTATGTAATTTTTACGTATATTTCTACTTTTACGATAAAAGGGTCAATTGAATATTTTTTTTTTGTGCTGTTAACTTTTCACTGTTTTTTTAATTGTATCAAAATTCAATGTATTATTATTTATTCAATTTTTTGTTTATTATTTTATTTAAACTTATTATACAAATATATAATTCACTGTAATCAACTACATTGCAATAAAATTAAAATGTAACATATCCTAATCCGCTAAAATTTATATATAGTTAATTATTTCCCCCGCGCTGTAGCGCGGGTCCGAACCTAGTTAGTATGTGAAGTGAACATACAATAAGTTGGTGATATATTAATAAATAAGGAAATATCATGTTGATTTGGTTATCCATTCTTTATGATCAAGAACTTATTCTTCATATTATATGCAACACTTGATTAGATTAACTGGTTGATCCCTGGCTGCTTTTTAAATAATGACTTATTGATGGAACCAAACATTATATATTAAGGTTCTTATAACATATTTAATGCAAGGTTCGAAGTATCGATTAAGGAAAACAGTAACGATACTTATGGCCGCCCTTCAAATTGTCTTAAGTTAATAACTAAAAACAGGTGACTATTTTTAACTAAAAATCAGAGTTTGCTTTGTTTGAATGTTACTATGATTCTAAGTTAGTAACATGTAACCTACTTATCTCTGTCACATCTCACAATTACTAGGAACATGGATCCTTAGAGAAACGTTAAACCAAATAACCAAAATTTATAATTACCAAACCACAACTCTATATTTACAAGATCTGAATTTTGCACTTTATCTAGTGTTAAAGCCAAAGATGGTGTGAAGAACCAAAAAGGAGAGTGGGATCCGCGGATGTATCTCTCGGGATAAATACGAAAGTCACTAAATTTTGTATTATTTGTGGTGATCACTATTAAACTTTTGATGATAATGAGAACAATAAAACATAAACAAATCGAACTAAATAGATGGAAAATTGATAGAAATCAATGTGAAGGACCAGGCGCATGCTTGGAATAAATGATGACAGAGACCAAATGTGAAATTGTCGATCAACTTTTCAGCTTTGCAATTGCGGCCATTTTTCATATTGATGAAAAGATAAAAGAGGTAAAAATATCGTTTATTTGATGTTTTTTAATGGATTTAGATTGGCAATAGATTAACATATTATTTTTGGTATACATTATTTCCTATTTTTCAAGTTTTATATAAAATAACAAATAATATAAGAATCATAACACAGTTTAATATTTTTATTACTATTTTTAATATTTAATTGCATAATCATAACAAATAATATAATATTTAATAATCATATTTAATATTTAATAATCATAACAAATAATATAATATAATATTTTTATTACTATTTCTTTTTTCAAAAACAATTAGGAAGAGTTCGATTAGTAGCACACATATATAATGCTGTACACAAAACTGTTAGTTAAAAGTTAGAACGGTAAACTATTACAGAATAGCACAAAAATATTTTTTTAAAAGAGCGGTATACGAAAATTGTATAGAAAATTTGAAAAATAATTTTTTTTTTTGTAACGTTTTTTTTTTTTTTTTTGATTACCAGGAGTTGTAACGTTTTTATAATTGGTAATAACCTTCAAAGTAGTATACTATGTATCAAAACTGTACATAGTTACCAAATAAAACCAATAACTTCAGTAGATACAATACTATATATGAACTTTTAATTGCTATCTAAAATCGTGGAATCGAGGATAAATCATGTTTCTGCAATTAGTTCGAACATAACCATATAGTATTTAGTCATTTAGATAGTGGAGTTATAGCTTGTATTTTAATATATGAAGTAATTGTAGCGACCTACCTAATTAAGTTTACTATAATTCGCCATACAGAACTAAAAAAATCGGGTTTGTTGTGTCACCAATCATCATATTGATATGCAAAAGCTAAACTTTTATTAATAAGTTAGGTAATTTTGCAGTTACAGAAATAGAAATGATTGGCACTTTAATATTTACCTGACATGATTTCATGCATTGCATGGATTCAAAAATAGTAAGTCTTCATTTTTTTTTTTTTATGGATTTTGGACTAAATTCTATGAATCTTACCCTTAAATGCTATAATTTGGTCTCGTGTCTTCCCTCTTTATGGCAAACTTGTGCGGTCTCATTTCTACTCAATAATCATATCTTAGGTCTACCAATACTCATATTTAGGTGAGACTTATTAGCATATTTTTTAGACTTTACCTTATCATCGATCCACCAACATATTTTGTGTTTATCTGTTAATCTTTGGTTTCGTTTTTGAAATATGAGAGTTACATATATATAACCTATGCAGATTTAACAATAATCCCAAACTTGGGAGTTTAGAACATATTTTGTGTTTATCTATTAATCTTTGGTTTCGTCTCGTTTAGATGCTAAGAACACATCAACGTGTAAACACAACTTTATTTTAAATTCAAACCACTTAACTTGGTCGCCATGATAAATTTATAATCATGAGAATTGTGGGAATTAATAATCAAAATGGTGGGATGTGGATGGGGATCATTGCCATATTCGGAAAGGTGTGTTTCGTTAAATGTGTTTGGTCCATGAGAGGGGACATATTTAAGGTTTGTGCCAAATGGGTTAACCATAAATGAGAGATGGGTTCATGAACATGGACGACATTGTCTCAACTTTTATTTTGGAACTTGATGCACATGCCTTGTTCTCATCTCTATATTACATACATACACATATATATATGTGTATATTACCTGGGTCACATCGACCATGACACATCTCCTCTCACTAGCCACAAATAATACTGCACTCACTTTTGACATATCTATAGACTTATAACATCTAGACATGTAAGATTGTAAATTTTTACTATTATTATTAAAGGCAGATAATACAGCACTCACTTTTAACATCTAGTCTTTTTCTGCGTTTTTTACATGCCGAAAACAACAATTTAACGAATAATAATAATTATTATTATTTTCTTGAAAATATCATATTTTAAAACAATAAATATTTCAAAAATGTTTTTTAAAAAAACTACGTAAAAGGATAATAAGACATTCCAAAAATAACATTTGAAATAGGAAAATAACGAAACCAAAGAGAATCGTCAACAAAAAATTGATGTGGTTGTACTTGTTCATACGATTTGTCAATTTACTTATACCACATATTGAATTTGAATCCAAATAGTTTACGTAAGGTACATAACATCAGTAGCTCTCCGTCATGATCGGCACATAAAAATTTCTGAAGTTGACTCTAAATCCACCAAAAGTTATGGTCTCGAAGGCATATATTTTTCTCAAAACACATTGTTTCTCTGTACTTAAAACAAATTGACACATAGAATAATCTCTTTAACCAGCTTTATACATACAACTTTGTTTTCTTTTTTTCAAGTAGCTAGGGAATAAATTCTAAAAAATGGAATGTTTATGTACTGTATGAAAGAGATATATCACTTTGTTTTATATTCTGTTATTGATAATACTTCCTTACATCAGTATATTGTCTTATGATTTTATGCATTGACTTAGAATATTGTTGAAGCTTGACTAGATAATTTGATAATTATGCTTCACGATGTGATTTAACTTTACCAACCTACTAATAATATAGAAATGCATTCATAATTTAATACAGCCTAGATTCTCTCCTACACATATATGCGTGTAATTTTCATGTAAGGTTAACATCACAAGCTCATGTATGCCTCGGAGATAACCATTTGGTCCATTTCTTTAGAAAGCAAATATGTTATCAAGTAGCCCATTTTCTAGCTAAGTATGGATGTCTACACTACATTGTAACGAAACAATTGTATATAGGATGACCTTATTAATGTAGATTAATTAATATGTCGACGAAAAAAGAAAGGTAATTAGCATAACATTTTAGTTGGTCTTGTCATTAAAAGCCACACAAAAACAGTTTTGGTTTGACATAAGCCACAAAAACAGTTTTGATCTAATCGTATTTCTACCATTCAAAATTTTCTTCGTAAGATTTCTCAAATTATCAATGTAGAGACCAGTGAACAAAATATATATGAAACAACCTCGACACTAAACTAGTGGACCATGTATATATATTTGATGAGGCCCAATAACGGACGATATGTATAAACAGGCCTACATCAATCTTTGTAATTAGCAAGGGTGTCGTATCACTATCATTCGATCAATGTTAAGACAGCAAGACAATATACAAATTGAGTCTAACTGATTATTGTGTTCAATAAAAACACAACAGAGTTAATGTATATGCCGTCTAACTATCTTTACTAATTAAAAAAAAAAAAAAAAACTCTACTAACAACGATAGAAATAGATGATGACTATTTAATTTTAAAGTTAATAAGAGAAAGTAAAAACTTACTAAATTTATTCATAAAATTCCGTAAAAAATAATGCTCTCCCATTGATTCCACTAAAAAATAGAATTAAAAAATAAATTGCCATATTGATTATCATCTTATTATTACAGAAAATGGGTGAAATGAGATCGATCGGTGTCACTAACCGAGATTATAAAAATTATGACGATACTATAATTATAGAAAAAAAAGAAAGATTAAGAATATTATTATTCATTTATAACTAAAAGTAAACTTTTCATATTAATCATCCTTTCTTTGTAACTAAAAAATATATTTATGCACAAAGAAATCAAAACATATAACCACCGTCGATCACATCAATCCAACAATTTTATCTTTTCAGTAAAGATCAAGAACGTCAAATATCGAACGGTTGCAGAGCGGACACGTACCACGATTCATCCAAATCTCTCTTGAACAAACTCTACAATACGTATGTCCACAGGGAATAAAAGCAGCACCTTTCTCTCTTCCCATACACACGCAACACACAGGATCACAACCCGTCCACGTCGTCGTCGTCATCGAATCACAGCCGTCCGATTCCGCAAGCAACCTCATCAACGGTACTTTAGCAGCAGGAACAACTGAAGTCTCAGCAGTCACGTGCGCTAATCTCTCCTCCGCCAAAGCCTCAGCAAGGTTCCTCGTCGCGCCACGTGTCAAACAACCCAACTCCGAACCCGTACCCGAACTCGGGTCCGAAAAGTCAACGCCCCGGTTTTGACTTTCTTCTTCTTCTTCTTCCTCGTCGTCTTCATCAACGATTGGTGTTTCTGATGCTCTGAAACGCAGAGTGAGAGGCTTACCGCAACAACCAACCCAATCAAATCTCAGCCGTTGCTTCAACAAACTCCATTTGCTCATCGTTCGATCTCCACCGTCGATTTGGTCTTCTTCTAGTAAACTCAACATCATCGTCGTCCTCTCATCACTTCTTGTTCCTCCTCCTCCTCCACCATCTTCTTCTGTTTCTCTAAGCAGATCTCCGAGTTGACTCATCCTGACGCAAACCCGTAGCCAAGAAAAGAGAAAACAAAAGTATCAAGAAATAAATAACACTTCTTGAATCAAAAGATTCACGAGAAACATAAAAGCTTCAATGGCTCCACTCAATAAATGTTTACGCAAGGAACGACTCTTGTCTCTTTAGAGGTCTCTGAGTTATATTTATGTTAGATGATCTCAAGTTTGTATATAAAATATTAAATGTAATAATAATACATTACTATAGTATGTTATTATTATTAGTGGGTACCATTCAATTTCAATAGTAACGTATTTTATTTGACTTACGTTTTGTATTATAGGGAATCGCACGTATTTCTCAATGTTATGATATTTTTATATATAAATAATTTCATATCTTTTTTGATATCAATTATATATTATTTTTTATTGGTTGGTTTTGTTTTGTTCTTAAACAAGGTTATTTGTCCGTTAGAAAGGCATCAATTGTCAAATGTTGCTTCTTCAAACAATTGTTCTTTATATTAATCAATGATTGAAGACGTTTTAATTATACACTCGGACCTCTAAAAAGACAAGAGTTCAAGACATTAGTCTACGCATAATCTTGGGAGATCAACGAAAGAGTACACAACACTTGGGTTCATTATTATTAGTCCGAGCAATATATAAGGCTGATTACATTATTTTGGGCTTTAGTTACAATTACAAACCGGACGGTCCAATTTCCTTTGAAGATCGGTGTTGTTTATATTATGAAATGGACTTATATGCATAATGTTAATTCTACATGTGAACGTAACATCTAAGTTTGGTCGCTCTAAAAGAATGAAAAAAGCCTACAGGAGCATTTGATATTCTTCTCTTACAAGAGATTTGTTTTAACCCTAAACAACTTCCTTACAAAAAAGGTGTATTTATAAACGTGCGGTTCATGCTAGCTCAAGAACACAGCCAAGAAGCTTGATCATGACAAGTTACTAGTTATTAATGGAGATGACCCCAATACCAATGTTTGTCTCCTTGCGAAAAAACACCACGTAATTCTAGCAACGATCTTCTTGAACTTCATCTTGAATCATCTTTATATTTGATTTATTCTAGTGAGAACTTCAAATAAACAGTGTCAATTGCTGTGAGTCTGTGACCAAAGAGGTTCCTACTAGTCTAGGGTTCGAGACAAGACTAAGTATGTTGTAAATTTGTAATCAACCTCTAAGGTATTGAATTTTGTTTGCTATTATTATGTAAAATCTGCTCTCCTTACACTTTTGTCACATGATGTCATAGTTTTATCTATAGATGCCTCTAAACCCAAAATGTTACAAATATTGGGGAAGATTTGTGTTCATATTATGAGATATACAACTACAACATAAGCTTTAATTTGAAGAATGGACTATTTTTTTTTTTTTTGTATTATTTTTTGTTTGTGAGTGTGTTTTTTTATTTTAATTCTTTAGGTCGTAGTCCTGTCGATATAGCAAAGTACCAATCAGAGATTCAGAGCTATAGAATTAGTGAAAAATAATTTGAGCATATAGGAATGAAAGAAAGGTAAGGTTGGGTGGTCCAAATGTAAGCCATTATTGTTTGAATGTTTGGTATAAGAGGGGAACAAGGAGAATATCTATTTGACGTTTGTAGTTACCAATCAATCTCTTGTCTTATGTCGTTTCTATCATTTCCTAACTTAAGACTTGTGGCTGTGCCACTATATAGTTTTAATTAGTATTTCACTTTTAATTTCACCAAATTGCTTTTGATTCCTAGTCAAACCTTAAGAGTTTCATATGTTTTACATGACTTAATAGTCAATTCTTTTCTTTGGTTGATAACTAGTTTTGATTCTTTTTGCTATTGCCTTGCCTTCATGGGTTTGAGATTATCAAACTCTTTCTATTATTTTCATTTTTTTCGCTTCATACAATGACAAAACAAAAATTTGTAAGAAAATAACCAATCATCATCCCTTAAAAAAAATTAGTTCTTTAGTTTATTTTTCCTTGTAATAACTTGTGTTAACTTCTAATTCAGATATGTACTTGATATACATGTCATTGATAAATTCTAGTGTAAGACATAAAATAATGTGATTTTTATCATAATTTACCATGGAATATTTTTTTAATTCATAAATTAGGATTTTATTAGGATTTAATTGGTTAAGGATATTGGAACATAAGTATATATCGTCAATACCGAACAAATCGTCAAGAAAGAAAACATGGCCACGTTGGTTCAAAAATAAATAATAGAAAACATGGCTAAATTTTATATCTTACTAAAAGAAAATATTGGAATATAATAAGTATGCTTTTATAAATTAAAATAATAGAAAATATAAAAATAGAAAAAGGCAAACAAAATAACAAATCTTTCAATAGTAGACAGAGGTGACGTAAAGCAAGGGGAGAGAGAGTGAGAGAGATTGTAGTTTGTCTCCCTCTTCACTGACGTCTCACAACCTCACCTTTTTCTCCTTTATTCTCTCTTCCTCTTTTTATATTTCTCTTTTAATTTCTTATAAACTTTTCGTGGAGTTTGTATACTATTATAACGTATGTATCTACGAGTTTGTGTGTAAACATGAGGATGTGTCGTGTGTAAACATGAGGATGTGTGTATAAATAGTGCTAAGGAAAACCCTAGCCCTACAAATCTGCGACTACCTAAACCTTGGATTGTCTAGATGTGTTGAAATGCTTCCATTTCATTGTACATTAACGTAATTATTCGACGTTTTAACAAATATGAGAGAACATGAAAATCGATTGGTTCATTAAGAAAAGTATATTAACAAAAGTTACTCAGTTATATTCTTTCTTTTTTTTGTGTGCAAAATGAAAGTATAGATTGCTATTTTAGAAGTAATCAAGAAGAAAAGAAAAGAAGAATATATTTTTGAAAATGAAAATAAAATAATAGTATGCTATCTTTAGTAGTAATTCACAATGAAAATAAAAGAAGAATATATATTGTTGAAAATGAAAAATAAAAATAGTTGCAATGTTCAATAAGGACATAAATATGTAATTAAAATGTCATATTACGCCAAAAATATTGTCATTTTATGTTGAGGTTGATATTTGTGGGTACGGTGATATCTTTCACGGGGAACCCTATGGACCTACTATGATGTGAAGGTTACCATAATGGATTTCTTATATATATATATATAAACTATATCATCGCCATCTCTTCATCATCACATCATCTTCTTCTTGAAGATGGTATCAACATTTTTCACCGTTATTGTTTCTACGTGTCAAATCATGGTTGGACCAAAGAGATAGACATGGAGTAATGATACATGATGCTTCTTTTTGTATGATAAAAAATCATTATACATGATGTTATAAGCAACAAAATACCATACAACTTTTTAAGTGTATTTTGGACGTATCCCTGTCCATTTTCTCTTATCTTTTTTGGTACAATAAATTGCAAATACCCGTTTGTTTTTTTTATTGGTTAATTACTTGCTTAATCACATTAGACAACATAGATTTTGTAATTACGTGTCTTACCAACCAATCGGAAGGAACCTTAATCTCTTAAACTCAAATCAGACTACATTACAATGGCATCTAATCTTAAAATAGAATGTAGAAAAGTGGGAATATATGTTTCAGTGATATTGTTCAAATGAATGTAGGAAGGAGTACGAGATCATATCTATAGGTTATATGGAATATGTGATTGGTGACACAAAATTGTTTGACTAGTTTAGGAAGACATAATCACATTTTTTATATTGTGCATGTGAGAACCATGTACCAGTTTAGGACTGTTCGGAAAGTGCCTAGAAGGCACAGGTTATAAATCAGTTCGGACTATTTTTATTTGTTTCGTGATGATTTCAACACTAGGAGTTTTGAACTCCTATTAGATTAGTTAAAATTGTTGCAAATTACTATTTTAGTTATATTAGAATTTTACTTTAAACGGCTATGTAAAAAACAATGGCAGTGATCGATACATGCGGCAGTATCGTAAGTCCAAGATCTATATCATAATTAGGGTATTATGAATTTTGTTTTCATCTGATTTTGATTAAAAAAAATACTAAAGTGAAATATTTGAGATTAAGATTACATATATAAGCATGACAAAAATAAAATATCCCAAAAACTAAAATTGTATGAAAAGGAAACAAACGATTAATACTAAAAAGGTCAAAGAAATACGATGAAATGGAATTATGATTTCTCCATAAATAATGTCTTTTCTCATTGGAGATAAGAAAATTATCTTTTATCAAACAACCATTTTCATCAAATTAAGAGAAACTAACAGATATCAATGTAACCTAGATATGGTTGATAATGATATATATCAGTAAAGTTGAAAAAAATAAAAGATGTGGACTACCTAATGGAGCTACCACTAAACATTTACATGATACAAAACAATATAGAACTTCAAATTTTACAGGGTCAAGACTCCAATAATGTTTGGCATTATTATTATTACAAAGCATCAAAGCATATAGAATCTCCGAGACATGAATCCAACTTTTTTTCTTTGTCACGTATCCAAACATCAAGCATCCCATTATAACACAACCTAGCTGTCTTCAACAAAATTTTCTTAAAGAGAGAAAAGTTCAACTTCCAAAAAAGTAAAAAGAAAAACAATAATCAAAGAAAGTTCTGTTTCATTTACATTTTAATTGATATTTAAGCAGCTCAACGACTTCTGCCAACATCTTCATCATGATCATAGTCTATTTTGAAGATGTGCAAGTTAGTAGTACATATGCATAAAATCTTGCACCTATCGATCCTGGAAATGCCAGGGGCTTGAGGAAAGATGCCAATTATGTATAGGACGCACATTTTCTCAGGACATTTTATATAATATGGAGAATGGTTTTGATTGATAATTATATGCTGATTTTGTATGTGTGTATTGTTTTACCAATAAAAAAGCGATATAAAAAGTGTTATTGAAAACATTATTCTCAGTTTTTTTATAGTTTTTTTTTATAGTTTTTATGTACCGTTTTTATTTTTACGGTATTATTCTATAATCATTTATCATTCTTAATTATCATTTTGTAATAATTTTGAGTTTGTTATTAATCAAATTTAATTTGACTATTTTAAAAAGCAAGACGATCAAAGTGACATGTAAAAGAACATCCATAAGAAAAAGAACATCCATTTATAATGTAA